GTTCATTAAATACATTGCTCACAATCAAATCAGATAGGGTTACATAATTCAGTACACAAACAAGAAACAATAGGAGATGTAAAACTAACAACTACAGCATCACTTTATGACATTCTAAAACAGCAAATAGAACTGCAAGCAAAAACAATTGATTCTCTTCAACAACACAGCTTATTGAATTTAAACTTTTATCACAGCACAGAACACCGAACAACTCGAAACAATCGACATTATTTCACATAACACAACAACCACAACCACAGCTTACACATCAACTCTCATCCTCTCATCGACCGAATATAAGACTTCATGATACAACAATAATACCATCCCCAGTATCATCAACGATACATTTAAAAGCATCAGATTACCACCTTATCGTGGAAGACAAGATGAAGATATAGATCAATGGGTGGAACAAGCTATCAAACAATATAGTCATACGGCAGACGGAGAACTACTAAAAATACTTCCATTAGTTTTCAGAGATAATGCTTTAACCTGGTTTACGACACTTGGCGAAAGAAAAAGATCAACATTAGCAACGTGGGGAGGATGGAAATGTTAAAGCAAGCTAACTATCAAATAAAATCATTACGTGATCTAAAATACCGTACATTTACAAACAATGAATCTGTGAATGATTATTATTTTGATAAATGCTGATTATTACGCGTAGTATTCGATGAAAATGTTGAAGAAGTAACAATAGTTAACGATATTATAGATGGTTTATCGGGAAATTTTAAGATGTTTGTATTAAGTCGAATCAATCCTAATACATCATTAGAAGAATTACGTCGTATTCTAGTGGACTTGGATTCAAATATTCATGAACAGAAACTCAATAATACCTATCGATCCAGCGTCAAATTTCACAATCATAGCAACGATCATAATGAGCGTCGTTATTTAAATTCAGATACAAATACAAATCGAAATGCAACACCAACAACAAGAACATCAAAAATTAATCCACCGAGTCCATGTCCACTTTGTCAGGGACGGCACTGGAAAGATGATTGTCCATTATTACGACAACAACAACGAGGCTTATTTAATAACAGATCAGTGTTAACAAGAAACGTATATGCCAGTAAAATTAATGACACATCAAATATCCACATCGAAGAATTAATAATACAATAGCATTAAATAATAATCGATAATGTTTTTCAATTCACAGCAATAATTCACATCGAATTGATGAACAACATCCATATGACTCTATTGAACCATCCAATTTAAGTTATAATCATATCCACACTGATATAAACAATGTATATCATGAAAATAACATTTCATCATCATCCTCAATAGATGATAATAAAAGTAATTCGACAATAGCACTCACGAGGAAAGGACACCAACTGGCAAATCGCTTTTGAGCCGTGAGCTAGTGGACAATAGGTAATCAAGTATGCTGAATCCGAATATGGCGATCATTTGGGCCGCTAGCCCTATTGAGACCCGGCTTTTAAAAAACCAGTTTTCTAGGCCAAAAAACTTTTTTCCAGAAATTTTTTTTTAACCTGTCCAGATCAAATTAAGGGTCCAGCATACCGCGAAACCTATAAAAAACATGTTTTAACAGTTTTCCGAGGGTTTTGGAGAGATTTCTGGAGGGCAAAATTACGTTCTTGGCCTTTTCATGCTTTTCAATGAAAAATCAACGATAAATAGGTAATCGACGACGGAGATTCCTAATATAATTAGCAGATGCCAGAAAGGAATAAGCAAAAGCTGGCAGTTTTGCTTTCGCGAAACGCTTCCCAGAAACTCTGAAGTGACCAGGTTCCTATTTAAAGGTGTTCCTGCTATACATCCTTTACGTCTATTCGCTATAGCCATCATGAACGTTTCGAATATAGTAAATCGCTTGAGTGATTTAGTCCGTAAGAATTTGGGTTTGACTTCGTCATCTCTAACATCTCAAAAAGAGTGTGAATTCGCAGAAAACTTATATGAAACCATCAAATAGGTCAAAAGTGCTACGACATATCGTTATTCAGAAGAAACTACGCTGGACGTTGATGATGATCCTTTTGATTACTCTGGTAGCAGTGATGAAGAGGAAGGTCATCATGATAACAACTCTGAATCGAAGGAAGAGGTCGACAGAGAGGAAGGCAAAAGCGAGAAAGATAAACGTCATTTGGCTAACTATTCACTAGATTTTATGCAGGAGGTAGTGGACTATGCTGACGAAAAAGACAAAAATGGGAAACGACGTCGATCATGGAAGACTGTCCATCACAGGTACAAATCAGTTCCAAATCAATCGTATGTAAGTCGATTTCGTACATATCTGCAACAACACGGAACGAAACGACAAAAGACCAACGATATTGATGAAACTGTATTTAAAAAATTTTTGC